CTTCAAGAACAATTTGAGAATCAAAAGGCATAATTCTGCTTACAATTTATCTAAAATTAAAAATGCTTTAGAATACTGCCATTGAATTGTCTTTTTTAAATTATTTTGTTAGAGAATGTTTGATTATTTATTACAAAAGCTGATCTACAACTAAAAACAATAAATAATATATTTCTGCTTCCCTTAACATCAGTGCAGTGTAGCTCTGATCTGCTGAGTATTTTTTCAGTTAACTAATCAATAATTGGATGGCAAAAGATGAGAAATGGGTGAAGCTAAAACGTCTTGATGTTTAGGATAAAACATGTTTAAAATTTTGTTTTTTTTATCTAAATGCAAAATGAACATGTATGTTTTTGTACAAATTTGGCTCAGAGTTTCCTGTTCTTTCAGTAAATATACTTTTTGATTATTTCAGTAATCGATTAATTTGATTAGTCGTTTCAGCTCTAATCAAGACTTTCCTCCAGATCTCCATCTCTGTTTCTTATGTTTTTGTTTTTCACAGCGAAGCATCAAAAAATGTTTAGAAAAGTTTTTGCTTCGTCCTGCAGGAGATTCTGCGGACAGGCTTCTGCGTCGCCACTGCTCCTCCCCGCCTCCACTCTGTTGCTGTGATTTTTTTGTTTGGGGTTTTGGTTTGCTGTTTTTTTTTTTTTTGTATAACTCTCCTCTTCACACCGCCTGGATTCCTTCAGTTTCTCTTCTCAGTTTTCTTTTTCTTTCGTCAAGTCCACTTTGCTCAGGAACGGCGTCAGGAATCAATCATTCTCCGTCTCTCTCTCTCTCTCTCGCTCGGCGGAGAGGCGAGGTAAGGGGACTGGAGGGGTGGGAGTCACATCACAGCTCATAGTTTGGGGGTGAATTTTCTTTTTTGAAGCCAAGATAAACAACTTTTTTTGTGTGTTTGTGTGTCTCAAAAGGCATTTGAGTTAAAACCTTTTTTAATGATACTTTTTGTTTTGGTGCAGCTGCTTTGCACAAAAAAAAAAAAAATCATCCATCATTAAAACAAAATGAGTTTCCATACCTTTTATCACACTGTTGCAACAGGATGCAGTGATTTTTGTCTTTTCTTTCTCTCTCGTTTAGAAAAATTCGACTAACTCGCCTGATTTATGCAATTATGACAGAATGAGCCAGACTTTAACTGGCCACAAGCCATCACTTGGTGTTGATGAGGATGTATATTTTATCAAACCTTGTATTTTAATCTCAAACATACTCACACAGAAGGCACCGCATATAACTAAATATAAATATATATATGAAGCCTGAAGAGTCTTAAGATGTTTTATTGTTTAGGGTGAAGTGAATTTAATGAGTTTCTAAAGGAAAAAAAGTCCCTTTTTTTTATTTCTTATTGGCATTAAAACGTGTAGATATGTATGGTCTATTGAAAGTTTCTGCCTTAGCCACGAGGAAATAAAGGAAAAGTTGATTTCACACAAGTTTGTATGATATTTTCATATTTTCCAGGAGGCGGGACACGTAGAATCCTCCACCTTTCCCCTCCTCTGTTTTCCTATTATTATGATTATTATTATTCTTTTGTTGTCCTCTTCGGTGTTTGTGGATCTCTCTCGCCTTGTTAGAAGAAAACTGTGCCCTTTTGCATGACTGTTATAAAAAGCTCCGTATACAAAGACAGCGACGTTAAAAGTGCCACACAAGCCGGCCCGGTTCGCCGCCGCCGCCTCATCACTTCGTGGTAAAAATTGTTTCCAAACACTCGGTGCTTTCCGCCCCGTTTTTATTTCCACTTAACCCGCCCTCCGTCCGACGAGCAGACTTTAATCTCTGCATGCTCAGTAACGATAAATCTGTGTTTAAAATGTTAGAAAAATATTTAAAGCACAGCATGACTACATATTACTCCTACGTCACGTTTAAATCGCACATTTTAGTTCTACAAACAGTTGGACCAGCACACAACTGCATATTAGGAAAAACACATGCATAACTGCAGCGGAAGTCAAGAATATCTTCACCGTTTGTGTTTGATCAGATTGAAGACTGTTAAATTAAATACTTTTATTTCACATATTATATTTTGTTGGGGGAAAAAGGGGTTACTATTGCACCTCTTCAATTTATCTAGAACTTTCAGGGCATCTATGGAAATATTTAAAAAACCAGCTGAGATTTTAGTCATTAAAGTTCCTCCATACTGCACAGATGGATTTAAAACTTAGATTATGCAGCAAAATGTAAGATATTGGATAAAATCTTAGAAGAGGAAGAAAAATATGGATGATTTGCTGCTTAAACTCAGCAGCTTTTTGGGAGATTTTCCTCTTCATTATCAACACAAGTTGTATTTGACTTTAGAAAAAACAAAAAAGCGAAGCTGCTGTATTTTTGTTTAAAGTTGGGAGGAGTTACATTTTCCGCGTAAATAAACACGGGATTCTTCACACAGCTTACAATCAAGTATATTTACTTTATTTTTGTGGATGACTCATCTTTACAAAGGGGACATTACAGTGCCGCTCAGACACACTCAAGCCATAGCTGGTCAGCCGCTCCTCTGGCCACAGCCGGTTGTGATGTCATCACGCCTACATCACAGTAGCCATGTTGGAAATTAAACCGCTGCAGATCGACCGCGAAGGGTGGCTGGACTAAAGGAAATTATGGAAACCTGTTTATGCTACTATAACAACATAATTGGTCAAAATTTGGATATGATTGCTACAGTGGCACAAATGGGCTTCCGTAATGCCATATTAGAAAAATCTCCACTTTTTTACTTTTTTATCTGTTTAAAACTTGGATAAAAATGGCTGATGGGTTTAATAAAACAAAAATGCATCACGGATAAAAAAAAAAAGTGATTTGGATGAATTGTTACAGTGGCACAGATGGGCTTCTGTAATAGCATATTATGAAAAACATAATTTCTTTGCATCATCAGTTTAAAACTGATGTGAAAATGCCTGATTGAGTTTGTTAAAACAAAAAATGCAGCACGGATAAAAAAATCTCTAGCAATATGTATTATAATTGGCCACAATTTGGATTTAATAATGGCACAAATGGATTTCCGTAATATACCATGTTAGAGCTCGATTTCTAGAAATCATTCAGTTTAAAGCTTATATAAAAATGATTGATTGGGTTTAATGAAACAAAAATGCAGCACAGATCACAAACATGGCAAGCTGCATCGCATTTAGTCAGTTTTGATTTAGTATCGGCACAAATGGACTTCCGTAATATACCATCTTAGGAAAAACTCAAATCTCTTTATGTCATTAAGTTTTAAAACTTGAATAAAAATGCCTGGTTGGGCTGAATAAAACAAAACAAAGATGCATCATAGATCAAAATCTAACCAGATGGATTGTAATTAGCCAAAATTTGGATTTAATTGTTGCACAAATGGCCTTCCGTAATGTACCATGTTAGGAAAAACTCAATCTCTTTACATTATCAGTTTGAAACTTACCGTAGTTATGGTCTGAGATGGTTGCAAAAATTCCTGATTGAGTTTAATAAAAGATCAAATGCAGCACAGATCAAAAACCTAACCTGCAACACATTTATCTTTAAAATAATTTTAACCTTAAAGTTGATGCTATCGATCACCTCTTCACTCCCATCTTAAATATGTCTACATTTCGACTCCAGCAGAGATTTAACCCATCTTTCGACACGAAACGATGACCAAAACGTTGCTTTTTTTTTTGTTTTATTTTTTGCACTTTGCAGATTTAATCCCAGCGCTCGTCACGCTCGCTGCACACACTCGTCCGTCTCCGTTATGATGAAATGCACTTGCTTCTCCGGTGGTTGGGATGGGACTTGTAATCCGAGGTGCCTGCCAGGACTTGACATGCCTGTAGATAGTTTTCTTTCTTTATTTGAGAAGCGGAGCGGGTTGTGGGGATGGGAACTTTTAAAGGGCACTGGAAACCTTTTAGTGGGATTAGTTGTATAAAAAGAGGACAAATTAAAAATGATAAATAAAAAAATAAATAAATTAAAAAAAGCTTCAGCTGAGTTCTTTGTGCAACCTTGTCTGTTTGTGCCTTTTTTGATAGTCTCGATATCCAAGATTTTGATGTGCAGCTTTTGTTTAGTCGGGAATCCGTTGTAATCGCAGTATATGCTCTTAAAGATGAACACAATCAGCTCTGCGGGTGGGGGGTGAGAACGGGATGTGGGCGACCTAATCCTTCATTTCTGTACATTTTAAGAGATTTGTTGCAACAGCTGTGTGATCTGTGACTGTAATAAAAGACAAAAAGCAAACATTTCAATATATTTTTTGCGTTACCCTTTATTTTTCTTTTTAATTTTTTTTTTTTTGATGTTTTTGTGCAGATATTTTTATTGTAAAATTAATGTTTCTATCAGACACTAATCTTGTTTGAGTTGTCTCCAGTGGAACTTCTTCACTCTGTATGTTTTGATCAGTATAAATCTTTAATTGTGTAGTTTTAAAAAAAGAAAAACTAAATAAAGAAAAAAAGATCCATCGGTTGTATTTTAAAGGTTTGTTTGAGCTGCCATTAAATCGGTTGGAGTTGCTCGGTGGGTTTTATTTCGCTGTCGTGTGAAGGATTTGACTTGAACGAAGCGTTTGCTATTATTACAGACTGACTGCTACTTTGGGGGGAAATGTTTTTGGGGGGTGGGGATGTCTTTTGCAACTCTGCCATGACATTTCAATAGACGTTCATTAAAAATACTATACCTTCAGTGGTGTGTCCAAGTCTTCATTGGAAGCCGTTTTGCTCTGTGTGAAGGCGCGACCCGCATGCGCAGAGAAACTTTGACGTCACAGCAGCGCGCAGTTTACGGAAGTAATCATGGATGCCGCCGACTAGGGGTCGATTTTATAAAACGACGAAGAAAATAAAATGTTTTTCGGCCGCCATAGTAAGAAGGAAGCTTAAAAAAAGCAACTATTAGCTTGTTTTGGACCACTGACTGTAAATAAGTGTTTATTTACGTCACAATGCGACATTGTTGCATAATTATGACGTCAGCAGGAATGCGACATGGTCGCCGCTATTAGCTTTGCTTCCTTTTTATTAGCTTCCTTCACCTGCTAGTTTCCTGTTATGATTTTTATGACGACGCTGTTGGCTCTAAAATCGATCCGGCCCTTACTTCTGAAAACAATGCGCTACTTTGTGACGTCAACATTGTTCTGCGCATGCGGCTCACGTTGGAGACAAACTTCACACAGAAGTTTAATTTGATTAGCATAATTGCTTGAACTTTATCAACGTTTCCTGTTTTGCGATTAATCAAGCAATGATGCTATAATGTTATAATGTCCTCGGCATTTCCACTGTAAACTCAGCTCTGCACCAGTCCAGATGCTCGGTGTTGCTCCCAGTCAGCCCTGACTAATTGGGAACAGTTGTTTACTTTGACTAGACGGATTCCTAGGACATCATGGCTTAAAAAATGATCTCAGCTCCTAGAAAGGACTTAAACGACATATTTAAGAAATAAAATGCAAGATGTTTCACCCTGAAACATTTTAAGCGGACGTGGAAGGAAGTCAGAAGTTGCTGCATCATCTGGTCTGGCAGTGAAAATGGAGAAATTCAAGAATTTAGAAGAATGCAACATCAAGGAAGACGCTGCTAAGAGAAAAATGACTGAAGGTAAAAGTTTAACTGACGTTCAAAAGTTATACAATTAAAGCATAACTTTAAGGTTCAACATGACTTCATCCAAAAAAAAATTTATTGGTAAAAGGAACAACAAACAATCCAAAGTTTTTACTAAAATTCAAACCTGTCTTGTTGTTCAAAAAGACAAAAGTTGAAATAAAAAATTGAACAGATGAAAAATTTAGGATATGATTTGCCTTTATTGAAAAAAAGTCTGGCAAACAATACATTTTCTCCGGCTTTTAATCTTAAATTATTTAAATATGACCGCTTTCTGAAAATGAACCATAATAACCTCGTGCAGGAGCCTGAATTTGCTTTGAATGCAATGGATTATGTAGGATTATGTAATCTACAGAGTGATATTAACCTGATGAACTCTGGGGGTCGCTGTAGTGCAAGTTAAAATCCCTCTGCAGTCTGGTTCTGCACCGCCAGAGCTATTACATAAGATTTGATTCATAAACTCAACATTTATGTTTGTGGGTCACGGCGGGAAGACATGTTTTTTCATATCTCAAATTTGCAAGATAAGTTCACAATCGTAGGGAAATGTGACATTTATTACAGTTACTCTGATTTATAACGAGTGAAAATGTTTATATTCAACATTAATCTATAAAATCCGAAAATTTAAGTGTTTTTAATTAAAAGATAAAGAATACGAGAACAATTAAGCTAAATTGCAAGAGAAAGCAAACCAGTCTAATATTTTGATTAGCCACGAGTTTGTTTACTTGCTCTGGTTCCACCACGTGCCTGCAATGCGGCCACGCATGCGCCGTAAACAGTTACATTTACATTTGGCACGCGTCACAGGTGGCGGCGCGCACTGCCAAAACAACAAGCGGACGCGTGCAAATTTACACTCTTCCCAACGCGCTGATTGGCTGTATTTCGCTTTCCCCGCCCTCTTTGGCAGCTGATTGGTCGAGCGGACGGTCTGCTTCGTTCTCATTGGACGCTATTTGTGGCTTCGGCTGTGTAACTAGGCTACTGTGCTGCTGCTGCTGCCTTCACGGAACGCGCGCTGCGTCGGAACTAACAGATTTTAGAACGACAGACGTTGTTTTGGTTGGAAAAGAAGCAGCTAATCGTCATCCCGGGGTTTGTTTGTGAACGTTCTTAATTTAACAAAGACTGCATTATTAATACTTTATTCATGTATTTTTGCTGTGATTATGTCTTTAAAAGACGACAGCAAGTTCAGAAAGAAGTAAGGCACTTAATTAAATATAGCAAATAATTCCTTAATTAATCTTTATTTATCATCTTATAGTTTGAAATGTTGGCAGTTGTTTTGATTTTCCAACACTTATCAAGCACTTTCTGTAGAAATACTTAATAAATTTTAGATCTAGTGTGATCTTTACCATCTCAAGAGGGTTTTAATGTGAGATATCTCCATTTACTTCTCACCACAAATTATTTATGGCATTTGCCTGACTGTGTAAAATCTAATCACAACCATAAGACCTTCTTCATAAGGATGTGGTTCTAATAATTACCATAAAAACTGCAACAAACGTCATTTTCACCACACAGTTAACTTTACTTCTGTACACTAATATAATCAGCTCCATCTCACTGAAATCCCTCTTGATCTCATTAGCCAATTGCTATAAAAAGCTTCAATTTGTTTTCTTCTTTTAGCAATAATCACCTCCAAAGAAAAGTTGTCAGCAGCTTACATAGAAATGAAGGTTTTTCAGTATTTTTGAGAATTTAAAGGCGAGGTGTTTAATTCAATTCAATAAAAAGAATATACTTTATTGATCCCAAAGGGAAACTAAACATAGTTACAGTCTACTAACCACCTGGACTAGTTTTGTGTTTGTACATCTGCAAAAAAGAATTAGGAAAAAAAAAAAAAAAAAAAAGATCTTACAATTTTTTAATACAAGTGTTTTAGTCTGCAGTATGCCTCTGAAACGTAAGACGTACAGAAAACTATTGGCACTTATGGAATTCCGTACAGGAGCACTAAATTTGAAGAATTTGGAAATAAATTCAGGATTTTGTTGTAATGGGAAACTTTCTCGTTTTAACAAGGGGATTTAAAACTTGTTACGATGATTGAGTGTAAGATGAGTTCTGTCAAGAAAACCAGATTTTTCTTACGGAAATTGTTTTTAACAGTTTCTCATTTATGAAAAGATTGCTTGTTATGAGCAAATCTCATCTCATTATGACAACAAAATTTCTTGTTTCAGTGAAATCTAAAATGTCTCTGTCTGATTGTCTTTTTCTTCTAGACGAAATCAAAAACAGCGGATTCTGTTTTACAGCGACATTTAAAAGAACACATTTTAGTTTTAATGAAATATAAATATCGTTTTAACAACAAAGTTTTCTCACTCGATACTCCTGATTTTTTGTTTTCCAGTCAAGTGCTTTCGTAGTTCTGTCCCTTTTTTTCTTCTTTTGTATTTTTAGCTTGTTTGCGATTCTTGACACTCATATCTCCCGCAGCCCTTGAACGCAGCATCAGTTGATTAAATAAAACGCAGCTTTTTCTGCACTTTTCAGACAAGTTTCACTCCGCAGTCCTCTCGCTCTCTGCCTCCCCTCCCAGACCGGAGAGTTGGATTCATGGCTGCGCATCTGTTCGCGATTTGACCAAAACGCGCCGCTCTGCACAGATTATCGGGATTTTCGCTATAAATAAGGCCTCAGACGGAACCGCTCGGCCCGCCGTCATTCATTTCTGCAGCAGAAGCATCCAGAGGAGATTTAAAAACAAAAATATGATCCCCCTCTGACGGATGGGTCTCCATTCTTCAGCCGGGACAGAAGATTCCCGCAGGTTTCCACGGATCGCCCTTCAGGACGGGACGCGCGGATGTTTGAGGAGACTTTTTGTTTTTTGCGCTTTAAGCTGATCCGATCTGGATTCATGGAACCGTGAAGAGCCGAGAAACGCGCGTCCTCCGCCGGGTTGTTTTGGTCTGAGGAGAGGAAGGGGGGGAAGGCGAAGCGGCTTTCGGGGTAAGTGCAAAACGCAGGGTGACCTACTGGAGGACGCGGCGTTATTTGCACCAAATCCGCTTTTAAATGCGCAGGAATGCGCTGAAATATTCATAAGGTCGCTAAATTTGTGCACGACTTTCTGCATCCTGCAGAATTAGATGCACGAAACTCTCCAAATCTTTTGCTTATTTACAACCAAAAAGTGCGGAAGAACAGTTTCCATCCTTTGTTGTGTGTCATTTTGAATCTTGACCATCATGTATGATGAGGTTACAGCAGCGCCTTCTTTCCAAGAGCCACGTTTTGTAATTTGAGATTGGAGTTGCGTTCAAGTGCGCGGCTCATTTCAGGAGATTGCGTCCTGCAGACGCGGATCTCAGCTTTTTGGTGTGTGTTTTTGTGTGTTACGTGGGGTACGTGGTGGTGGTGGTGGGGGGGGGGGGGAGGTTATAAAGTCACGTGAACACGGCGACAAAAACACAGATTTCATAACGCACGCGCGCACAGCGGCGTGCAGCTGCAGCAAATGTTGCGTTTACGTTCATCCATCCTGCGATATTACAACGTTTATCTATTGAAATACAGGAGAGTTCAAGTAAAAACAAAGACATGTGGGCATTAATCGATAAATAAATAGCAGCAGTTGGTGAATTGTTGTTTTGGCTGACGCGCTGACGTCATCCGCAGGTCGGCTGTCACGTTCATGCTTCATTTAAGGTGTTATTTATTTATTTATTTATGTTGATTTCTGAATGTTTCTAAACTGTCACGGCAGGATGACGCTGATCTGCTGTAAATAACCAAGATGCTTCAATAAAAAAACGGTATTCTAGAAAATATTTGATAATTATTCTGATTCATTTTAAATTGTTTAAATTTATTCTTTAATCTGTCTCCTGATTAACTCGTAACCTGATGAGATTTAACAAACATCTTTTTCTAAACAAATTCAGTAAAAATGAACCAGATTGATCGTATTTTGAACCAAACCAGGAGTCAGACTCATATTCATGTTTTCACCGGTCAGTGAAAGGATGAGGAACTTCTTGTATTTATTTACACATCCTGGTATCTGCACGCTGCCGCCTACTGCTGGTGGCGCGTTCACGCCGCATGGGAAATAATTTCCACTGCAATAACGACACCATTTCAGTCATTTATATATTTATATTTTCCTCTTTGTGTTCAGAGTCTGGATGAATGTAGAGATTTTTTTAATCTGTTTTTGTGGATGTGTTAGATATGTCTGCCAAAAGTTAAACTATTTCACATTTTGTCCTCTTGCATCATAATCTACTGTAATTAATTAATTTTTACTTCCACTAGTTGGAATATTACCATTTTTAAAAGGCTTTATCAAATAAAAATCTGAAAAATGTGGCATGCATTTGTATTCCTGTACTCTTGTTACCTCTAAGCAAAGTCCTGTCCTGTTAATAGTTTATTTAATTTGTAATTTAAGCACAACATAAACACAGCTGTTCTACAAAGACCAGATTTGAGGCTGCTGAGGAAACATGGTAGTGGCAGCATCATGCTGCAGGACAAGTTTTAATTAACATTGTCTCTTTTAACTCAGACTAACACTCAAATTTTGACTAAACTCACAACTGACTTTTATTGTTGGTATTATGACTAAATTAGTAATAATTATCACAGTAAAACTCACAATTATTACTTTTTATCCTGCTTATGATAAAACTCACAATTAGTACTTCTTGAAATTTTGTCTTTTAATCTCAGAGTTATTACTTTAAAACTCATCATTATGACTTCCTGTTTATTTTTTTTTTAATAGCAGAAATGGGCTTCCATAGAATACAAACGTAACACTTTTCAGGTTTTTATCTGTTTAAAAATAGTGAAAACCATTTATATCTGCCATTCCACTGCACTATTATTACTGTTTTGTCTTTCTAATAAAAACTCATTGAGGTTTAAGTTGAAAAAAAAAGTTTAAGTTTTAAAGATCACTTTGTTGCAACTTTAAAGAAAAAAAATCAGCATTTGGCCAAAATTAA